ATATATATATATATATATATTATATATATATATATATATATATATATATATATATATATATATATATATATATATATATAGGGGAGGGTTCATGCGAAAATGCAAATAATTTGCGAAAACGCGAAAACAAGAAAACCATATGATATTATGTCACCTCAACATTATATTTTGGAAAATAATTCATCCAAACTTTGAAATACATGATGATAATCGATGATAGATGATAGACTATTTCATATTAACATTTTTATTATGAAAACATGAATTTAAAAATGATTAAGGACGTGAAAAAAATATAATTATAAAAACCGTTTTTAAATCTATATTATCATAACACCATCTAATGTAAACTTACTATCTTTAATTTATTGCTAATAAAATTATTTTTTTTATAGTACATGTATTTAATTTTCATAAGATAAAATCTGTTTTCGCGTTTTCGCAGGATATTTATATTTTCGCATGAACTTACTTTTATATATATATATATATATATATATATATATATATATATATATATATATATATATATATATATATATCAAGGTTACAGAAATCGTTCGGCGGTAGCTCGACGGTGGACTAGGGTCAAAGGATTAATCGGTTAGGCGGAGATTAATGGCGGGATTAATCGGGGATCATTAATTATTAAAAAAATTAATAATTATAACATTAATTATAAGAATATAACATTATATAATCATTAATAAATGTAAAATTATAACAATTAAACATTTCACAATACCAATAAATAAATAAAAATTCAACATTTCACAATTTTAGATTAAGCCATCAAAGAAACTGAGGTGACATCTATTTTCAAAGGCATCGGCCTTCCTTGTTATTCAGCATACAAAAGCTTATGGTTGTTATTCACCAAGATCTTAACAACATTAATGTTGCCAACTGCAGTTTTTATCATAAAAGTCTGGTTCATGCATGGGCGGAGCCAATAGGGGGGCTAGTGGATGTTTTGCCCCCCCTAACACCATTGATATTACTGTATTACCAAACAAAGCCCCCTTTCAATTCTATGCTCATCTCCTTCACTCAAATGGTTTATATATATATATATATATATATATATATATATATATATATATATATATATATATATATATATATATATATTACGATGTACGTCTAAGTCCCCGCTAATCTAAAATTCTAGCTCCGCCCCTAGGTTCATGACTTGTAGGGGTTCCAAATGTTGATAGCCTGGAATTGGATACTAATCAAGAGCAAAGCTAGGAATTAACAAAAAGATTCATCATATTGAAGTCCTTAATCAACATTTATGTTTGCTTCCGCCAACAATAACAATGAACTCTGTGAGGATTTTCATCAAACACCTTATGTGCGTCAATCCTTTGAAATAGGTGTAAAGGCAGATTCAATTGATGTCGAACAATCCTATGACATTCAGTTGCAAAAACATCCTGTGACATTCAATTAGAATGAACCTGAGAAACAGTAATCTCATACAACGGTATTGTCATAAAAGGTGTGAAATAGTTGTGAACTTAACCTAAACCATGAACCTGAGAAATTGATTCAATTACAAAAACTTTGAAATATGTGTGAAGTCGGAGATGATGGCTAACGCTTTGAGAACTCAGTAAAGAATTACCTTAATAGGATACTCCCAATGCTTTGAGTACAGTTCCCAGAAACATCTTCGTGGTAGAAGAGAATGACAGAAGACAGAACAGCAGAGATGATGGCAGAAGTCAGAGATGATGGCTACAGTGGCGAGCAGGAGAGGAGTCAGAGATGTAGTCGTTCTAGGAGCCGGAGTTAGAATGAATGCGATGGAATGGCAAAATCGAAAGGAACCCTAACAGAAATTAAGGAGCTAAACCACCAGTCGAAACCACCATTGAAAACTGAAGCTCATACCTTCAACCACCTGCTACGTGAACTAAGAAGAAGTGAAGAAGATATACTCAACCTCCAGTCCCACATCCCAAGTCCCACATCCCACATCGCTAGTGCAAAAAAGTAAAAGGTACCGACATTCTATAAAAAGGAGTGACAATCCCCTTTGAAACATAAAAACAATTATGCTTTGGGTTGTTGGCTCCATTGGGCCGACGACTTTAGAGTGGGCGGGATCACTATTGGTGTCCGAGTTGGTCCGATTTAGTCCGATTTGGAGCGAATTAGACCGATTTTGACCGATATTGACCAAGGCCGATTAATTAACCCTCTAACACCTATTCGTAGGCGGTTGGTGGCCGCCAAGTGCCTAGGCACCGATTAATCGGCCGCCTAGACCGATTTTTACAACCATGATATATATATATATATATATATATATATATATATATATATATATATATATATATATATATATAAGTCTATCAATCTTATGTAAGAGTAGTATGTGTCAGACTGTTCACGGCCCTAGTGTGTGCATCCAATGTGTATTAGACATTTTTGCGATATAAACATGTGCATGCTTGGTTTAATCCTTCTTCTACTCCATTCTTATTTTTTATTGCTATTTGTTTGATCACTGGTTTGGATCATCAGATTTAGGACCTTCTAATTGGAATCAGAGCAGATCCAGTGTTAAACTCGTATTTGGTGTTTAGGGCTACAAGTTTATCTTCATTATTGTGGTTATTTCGAGTATATTTGTTGGACACTTGCCTTTTGATCAACTTTCAAAGCTGTTGGGATCGAAATATGCTTGGAATTAGTTGTTTTAAGTGTTTACGGTGCTCGTTGTTGAAGCTTTTACAGTCGTGATCAAGTGTACGATTGTAAACAATTCAACGTTCTTTTGACTGTGAACTGCATTTACGACCATGAACCTTTCACTGACTGTGTTCCCTTCATTGACAGTGAAAATTTCTTCACTAACCGTGTATGGCCGTAAACTTTGAATATTCAAGGGCCGATAACTCTTGTTTAACCGCAATCTATCGAACAGTAATCTAGTGTACGATTGTAAACAACTTTCGGCAGTAAACTACTCAAGATGTGAACTGATTACAGCGGTAAACCTTGGCCGTAAACAATTTTCTTGTTTTAACTCTTGGTTTTTCAAGTAAAAAAATGGATTCACAAAACTCAACAATTCATCATGAACTGGATTCCATAATGGGAACAACCACTCGTATTCCTCATTTGTTATCTGCTAAAGGTTTCTCATAATGGAAATATCGGATGGAAAAATATATCAAAATGAAGGACTTCATGGTTTGGAGAAGCATTCTTAAAGGACCTGTCAGGATCACCAAAACTCTCAAAAATGGAATAGTAGTTGATAAAGAAATTGAAGATTATACTGATCAAGATTTTGCGAAGATTGAAGAGCAAGAAAGAGCTCTTGCTACAATCACTATGGCCCTTTCACCAGATATTGCTCAAGGTTTTCGGGAATATACATCTGCAAAAGCACTATGGGAGACACTAATTGAATTCTACGAAGGAAATGAAGACATGGAATATAGTTTCCAGGATATGTTGAGACAAAAGTTCAATAAGTTTAATCATATCTTGCGAGAATCTCTTCAAGCTCAACTACAGAGGTTCATCACTCTCACAACTGAGATGAGTTCTGCATGAATATTGGTTACCAAATCTAAAATCAACAAGAAGCTTCTCAATTCTCTGCCAAAGACATGGGATATGAATGTTTTTGTCATCAAGAAAACAAAAGATCTTAATCGTCTTAGTCTAGCTGAAACCATGGCAATTATTAAAGCTTGTGATTTGGATGACAAGCAACGAGAGATCAATCATGTCAATTCATACTCCACTACTAATCTCGGAATTCAATCACATAATGCTTTCTCATCCTTCACTTCTCCTCAAGTCCAACCGGTTGTTGCTCTCCAATCATTATCATATGTTATTTCATCCATGCAAGGTATTCAAACTCCAATATCCTATCCACAAGGTGTTTCTTCTTTAAAGGCATGTGTTGGTGTTCCTGCTCTAATTTCTGCTCTAACTCTTCCGCCCAAAGAAAATGACAAAAATTTGGCTCTTGCAACCGGTCTTGTCAACTGCTACAATGCATTTGTAGCAGGCGAGCTGCCTCCTCAATTGTCTTTTGGTTATTTGGATCAAATTCATCTCGAAGATGTTGAGTAAATGGATATAACTTGGCAAATCGCTATGGTAGTGTTCCGGGAAAAACATTTCTCCAAGAAGACTGCTAAAAATAAATCGGGTATGAATGCCGAAAAGAAGGTGGGATTCAACAAAGGCAAACTCCGATGCTTTAACTGCCATGAAACTCATCATTTTGCCAGAGATTGCCCAAAACTTGACAGAAGAGAAAACAATGAAAGATCAATGGTGCCTGTAGGTAACACCAGGGGAGCTATTACCAGCAAGCAGACTACTAACCTTGATGTGGTAGCACAGTCATTTGATTGGGATGACCAAATTCAGGCCCTGAACATTGCAAGACATGAAAATACACATTTTGCCCAGATCAATGACAATGCAGAACAAGAAGCTGAGATGGATCCAGAAGAGGAAATCATGGCACTCCAGTTTGCATTCATGGTTCAAAGTACCCTAGAGCCTTCAAAGCTAGAGGTCAGTGAAAACGTTTGCTCTTAATCTTATATTACCACCATCAAATTTTTGTGTGATCAAATTGAATTAATAAAGAGAGAAAACGAGGACTTAAAATATCAGGGGTACCAACTTACAAAAGGCCAGAAGCCTTTAAAAGATCAACTAGAGGCCAAGACTAGTGATTTTGATAAATTGCAAGAAGAGTACAACAAAAAATGTGTCAACTATAAATATCTTAAGAAAGAACTTGTTGTAACTGCTGAACTTGACACATTAAAGATTCGTTTTGCAAATTCTGATTTTAATTTCAAAAAATTTGATGTGTCAACTGAAAGAGTTG